GTGCTCTCTTGGAATTTTCATTAGATATTTCATCATTATTTTCAGCTGCCTGAAAACAGTGGCAACAGCATTCTTCTCTTTATCACATCTTTATGCTATCATATGCTCAAAGGGAAATGCAACTAATATTGAAACTACCTGTATATTCCAGAATTTATTTTTTAATGACAGCATAGTAAAACAATTCATGCAAGTTATTCTCAAAAAAAGTGCATTATAAACCTTTTTTATTATCTCCATCTCTTCTCATGTAAAAAAAATGGCTGAAGACAAGACGAAACTCAAGTACTCAGCACCATATGAGAGTGAGTGGTGTAAGCTTCATCCTCCATCTTTCAATGAGAATGTTTCAGAAGAATAAGTTAAGGTAATTGCAACATTGACCTGTCAAAACTCAAGATGATTTACACTGTGAGGTTAAAACATTTTCTATAATCAGTGAAGAGATTGTTAAAATAAGGAAGGCCAAGGAAATTTGTGATATTGTTTGGTTTAACGTTCGTATACTGAATCTTTTTAATTACACAAAATTTTCACATGCAAAACGCTCACTTAACCTTACAAAACCTTTGTTGTTTTTTGATCAGAATAGCAAACACACACACAAGAAAAAAAGAAACCCACACCAAAACCAAACAGATTTCACTGTTCCTCATAAAAAAAGGTATTTTTCTTTCAAAGGAAGATTTTTTTGATGATAAACAAGGGGCTCAAAGGGATCTAAGTCAATCTAAGTCAATCAGGTTAGCTATCAGATCTTTTAGTACTGAATAAAACATTGAGGACCACCTATTTCTTTAGAAAACTTCCCTATGTAGCTGCATGGACATTACAAACCATCACCTAAATGAAAATGCCAAGAAGGCGGTTCCTGGAGACAGCAAGTGCAAACAATCCTGAAATAGTTTAAATTTATGCTTTTATTTTATTTTCTTACAGAAAAATAAAGAAAATAAACTTACTTTTCCACCTTTTCCACTTTTCCACAGTTAAGCTGCTGTCTCTCATCACAAATTTATTAATCACATTTGCTTTACAGACTTATCTTTTGACCTAGGAACAGGTTGATAATTTGTTCGCAAACAGCTGGCAAAGTGTTAAAATTTTTTAAAGTTCCTTATAAATTAATATAGATTCTTTACCTACACATTTTTAAGTATCACTGAACTACATCTGGCTAAAATATCTTACAGACTGCCCAAACTGCTCATCTAAACTTACATTAAATTTTCATGAGCTCATTACATGAGCATTATTCGACTACCATACAATTACAATTCAACCTTGGTCTTGATTATTAGCACAAGATTTTATTCCAATGAGTAACCCAAGTGATTCTGATACAGCAATACCATTTTTTCTGTTTTTTTAAGTTCATTAATTGTGAATAACTGTCTACATACTATAGCATTAACATGTCTGTAATACATTGCTATGTCAAATAAACATATGTTTTAAAAAGTATGTTTCTTAAGATGTAACTTTATTGAGCTTTTTTTTCTCCAAAACACTAAGTTATCTCAAATCTCAGACAATAAGTATGCTGCAGCTGTAAAAGGGGTAGATTTATGCGTAAAATGCAGACCATAGAAAACTGAAGATGCCAAAACCTTGTACTTGAATAAACAGTAGAAATAAATAATAGCAGCGCTGATACAAAGACCAAACACTATGAGTTCCTCATCACAGATAAGTGGTAGAAAATTTATGTTATTAGCAATATTATTGTTTTAAGAAATACGTGAAAAAGTATTGTCAGAAGTCTTTGAGTCTTCATGTTATTAACAGAGGAAAAGTTTCATTTTTTGGAGGGAAAAGTCACTAATCTCCTTAAAGCATTTCCTGCATCTTGGAACTGTTAATATTAAACCAGCAGTTGTCTAGGTGATTAGCTCTTGTCAATCAAGCATGGTAATATCTGTCAGGCTGTCAGCTTTATCACTGTAAAACTGAGGGTTATGAAGCTACTCGAAGTATTATAGTTCAGAGTGCCAAATGTCATCCCATGGGTGTCATAGGTGTGTTAATGTTGAGAGGGGACAGATTTAATCGCTGCAGGAATAAATACATAAGGGCAGTGGAAGAAAGTTGCTGCCAGTCACATCCCACTGTGATCAGCTTCAGAAAAGTCTGATGCAGGTGAAGTACTTCACCATCTACTTTTGGCTATAGCTCATTATGAAAACTACTGCTACAGTCAAATAATGGATGTCACCCCATCTTGTTTATACCCAGAGGGCAGTAAGTGTTTTTCTATGTGTTTTTCATCTCACTCTCTGTTAGGCTGCTGTTATTATCCAAGGAAATGTGGGTCACATGAGACTTTTGTAATCCATATGATAAGTTCAATCAAGTTACCTGGAACAATACTTTCTCTGTTCACATACTGCATTTTCTGGGCTGAAAAGATCAGCTTGATCTACTGGAAAGTTCCAGAAGTAGAAAAACTTTAATAAAAACATTAAAAAAAAAAAGAAAAACAAAAAAAACAAACCAACACCCAAATAATAAAAAACGCCATCTGAAATTATATGGATTTGTTCAGTGCAAGAGAGAGACTGTACTTAACTGGGAATGTTCAGTAAAGTTCACCAGCATCCTTTGTCAACAGTTATTTGAAAGAAATATTAGTTCAGTATACATTCCGTTTCTCAGTATCAATAAAAAAAATTAATCTCATGTCATGAGGTCTCACGTAACCCAGGCAACAGTGAATCATTGGCCTCTTCATTTATATGTCATACTGGAGAAAACTGTCTTTGCCTGCATATGTAACACACACTTGCATAGACACGTACAAAACTATTATATACGTGAAAGATGTGTGAAATCTCTGTAGTTTTCAGAAGATGGGAAGGATGAACAGTCTCATAAGAATATTGTGCATAAATAAGATGAAACTTAACACCTGTTTTACTCTAACCTAATGAAAGGCTTGAATACATTTCTGTTATTTTTAAAGAAAACCATCAGACAAGACCTACATTAGGAGCCCATTCTAGTTTTGATTTTGTATGTAAATATTTTCAGGTTTGCTAGTTATTAAAATGAAAAACCTAAGACTGGAGAAAATCTCTACCCCCAAGTCTAGTCTTACATTACAGACAATTACATCTCTTTTTCCTTTTTTTTTTTTTTTTGACAGAATTTGAGTCTTAAAATTCAGTAGTCTCTTGCTGTTTTTGACCTTTACAAACTATTCCAGACTGATACTCACTAATATGTTTACATACAAAAATCAAAACTTAGAATGGGCTCCTTAATGTAGGTCTTAGTCCTGATGGTTTTCTTTAAAAATAACAGAAATGTATTCAAGCCTTTCATTAGGTTAGAGTAAAACAGGTGTTAAGTTTCACATATTTATGCACAATATTCTTATGAGACTGTTCATCCTTCCATCTTCTGATAAGTTTTTCTTTCCACTTGTTTAGACTTTGCCAAAGCCACTTTTTTTTCTCATTAACTGGGTCGAATCAGTGATCTCCACTCTTCATCCTTAAAAGTATAATGATGCTTTCTGGACATTACTTTTTGTCTCAGTACCATTCAACTTTACCAAACTGTGGTAGGTTTTCCAGTCCTCCCCCATATATTTATAATTTCCATCTCTATCTTATCAGTAAATTTCATCTAGATGGACATCCCTTTTTCCTGCTACAGTGCTGGTATCAACACTTATCCTAAATTTTTTTAACTTTCTTCAGCTTGTGAGTTTTTCATTCAGGATACTGTAACCTTCATTTTGGACAAACAGGTGTTCACCAGTATTTATATTAATGTTGTCTTTAGGATACTTCCTGTATGTTAAATATTATATTTTTATCAAAGTTCACATAGATTAGATCTACATCGTTTACTTTGTCTAGAAATAGAATTTCACATTAGGCTAATATGATCTAACTTCAGTAAAGTCATGTCTTATAAAGTGGAATTTCATACCTGACACAGCATGAAATGAGTTCTAATAGCTCCCCTAGTGACATTAGCCAAAAGCAATTGTTAAGATAGAAGATAACTTTATTTCTGTAGAAATTCATTTGAACTGTAACATCAGTATTTTTTCTTTTTTATTGCCAATGAATTGATACTCAAAAAAAAAAAACAACAAAGCAGTGGTATTATACCAAATAATAGCTTTATATAACAGTCATATCAACTGCAGATATAGACCCAAAACTTTGATGAGAATATAATCTGTTTTAGCATTCAAAGTTTAGTGACACCATCAGATTATTCAGATTTACCTTAAAATAACACAAAATCTGATTTCACGAACATAGTTGCATCAGTACAGGAGGAGAATTCACTTCATATTACTGAAAAGAATGAAATTAGCTCACAGTTCAGGAAGTCCCTGAAATTAACATGTTTGTATGTGAGAGTATTATGGGGATATACCTACACGTGTCTTTCTCTCGCATTTTCCTGTAGGCTTTTTTACTGGGTCTGCCCGGACCTAATTTCCTTATGGTGAAATGTCAATACAGTACAACATTTTCAATTTGTGAGTAAAAGACTGTTGATAGTACACCAATGTTCTGTCTGGGCACCTGTCTGCTTGTAGGAGGCGGTAAGTGATTGCCTTTACATTACTTATTTGGCATTTTTTCGCCCTCTTCCTTTATTCTTTGAACTATCTTGTTTTGTAACTGCCTCAGTGCAGGAATCTTTTCACCTTTGCCCATTTTCTCCCATGTTTTGCTAGGAAATGGGGGAATGGGGAAGCAGCTGTATGGGTACTGAGATGCTGACTGTGCAACTCACTGCAGCATGCCTCATCGTCATAACTGGAGAAAGGATGATTTGGTCTCAGATAATTAACAGCTATAATACGGTGTGTTAAAGTCAGCATAACCTCAGAACTCAGCTCAGCATGTTAGATAGCACAGAGCAGTATCAGCACAACCAATGTTTCAACAGCCAAATCATAGAATCATAGAATAGTTCGGGTTGTAAAGGACCTTAAGATCATCTAGTTCCTACCCCCCTGCCATGGGCAGGGACACCTCACACTAAACCATGACACCCAAGGCTCTGTCCAACCCGGCCTTGAACACCACCAGGGATGGAGCATTCACAACTTCCCTGGGCAACCCATTCCAGTCCCTCTCCACCCTAAAAGAAAGTAAAGAACTTTCTCCTTATATCCAATCTAAACTTCCTCTGTTTAAGTTTTAACCAATTGCACCTTGTCCTGTCACTACAGTCCCTAAGGAAGAGACCTTCCCCAGCATCCTTATAGGCCCCCTTCAGATACTAGAAAGCTGCTATGAGGTCTCCACGCAGCCTTCTCTTCTCCGGGCTGAACAGACCCAACTTTCTCAGCCTATCTTCATACAGGAGGTGCTCCAGTCCCCTGATCATCCTTGTGGCCCTCCTCTGGACTTGTTCCAACAGCTCCATGTCCTTTTTATGTTGAGGACACCAGAACTGCACACAATACTTCAAGTGAGGTCTCACAAGAGCAGAGTACAGGGGCAGGATCACCTCCTCTGACCTGCTGGTCACGCTCCTTTTGATGCAGACCAGGAGACGGTTGGCTTTCTGGGCTGGGAGCACACACTGAAGCCTGCTCATGTTCATTTTCTCATTGACCAACACCTCCGAGTCCTTCTCCGCAGGGCTGCTCTGAATCTCTCTTCTGCCCAACCTGTAGCTGTGCCTGGCATTGCTCTGACCCAGGTGTAGGACCTTGCACTTGGCATGGTTAAAATTCATAAGGCTGGCATCAGCCCACCTTACAGTGTGTCAAGGTCCCTCTGTATGGCATTCCTTCCCTGCAGTGTATCAACTGAACCACACAGCTTGGTGTCATCAGCAAACTTGCTGAGGGCGCACTCAGTCCCATTGTCCATGTCACTGACAAAAATGTTGAAGAAGACCGGTCCCAACATGGATCCCTGAGGGACACCACTCGTTACTGGTCTCCAGCCGGACATTGAGCCATTGACCACAATTCTCTGAATGCTGCCATGCAGACAGTTCTGTATGCACTGAGTGATCCACCTATCAAATTGATGTCTCTCCAATACAGAGACAAGGATGTCGTGTGGGGCAGTGTTGAGCACTTTGCACAAGTCCAGGTAGATGACGTCAGCCTCTTTGCCGCTGTCCATCAAGTTCTGTAGCCCCATCATAGAAGGCCATCAAATTGGTCAGGCAGGATTTCCCCTTAGTGAAGCTGTGCTGTCACCAAGCACCTTGTTGTTTTTCATGTACCTTAGCATGCCTTACAAAAGAATCTGTTCCAAGATTTTGCCAGGCACAGGGGTGAGACTGACTTGTGTGTAATTCCCCGGGTCATCCATTTTCGCCTTCTTGAAAATGGGGGTTATGTTTCCCTTTTTCCAGTCGCTGGGAACTTCACCTGACTGCCATGATTTTTCAAATATGATGGCCAGTGGCTTAGCAACTTCATTCGCCAGCTCCTTCAGGACCCATGGATGGACAGAAGTCATTATTAGTCCAGTTACAACAATGCACACCTCAGAGTTACACAGTTGTGCAAATGGTTAAGACAAGCATACACGAACTCTCTAACATGTACCTCTGTTTCTGTAATGCTATGCTCATTCTCCCAGCATTGCTCATCTCCCCCCTTCGTCCAGAAGATGCCTGGAGGTATATGTGGTGACAACTAGGACAAGTAATTTGTACCATAAGCACATCACCACAGGTGCTGTTCATGGTACAGATTTCCTCACCTCAGTCCTGGGCCAGTCTGGGGTTGTTTTGAGGTGTATTCTAAGAGTCAGTCTTCCTATTCCTCCATCCTTGCTTCTTAGCAACTGTTTGACCATCTTCACTTGTTGACTATTATTAAAATTGAACAATAGTTTTCCAGAATTTACATAAATTCAGCGTCTGTTACCTAGTGACTGTATGTTTGCTAGTATTTTACTGTACATGGTCCATGCAGAGCTAAGTCAAGTTAAAGACTAGTGTACTGCCTCCTAGCCACTTTTAGTCACAACTAAAAGTGAAGTCAACTTAGGCCAACACAAGCCTGAACAACTCCTGAGACTTGAAGGGTGAGGTTAACAAAGATGCTTTTACTAACACTGCCAATGTCATCTGCACTGAGCCACGAGCCAGAAGAAATAGAGACTTCAGTGTTCAAAGAGTTATTTGCTATCACCTCCAAGAAATAGAAGTGCTTCTGTGGCTACTTTCATCTTGTTGTCTGCTGGATGAAGCATACATGGACCTGTTTCAGCATTCTGAGTGAATGCAAGTCAGTGTTGTGTTTACTATCTTCACTACTAGCAAGAAAAAACACTTTCTTTTCATAATCAAGTTTATTCTTATAATCCCAAATTCTAATCTGTAAGTGTTCAATAATGGAGTGAAGGGAAATTGGCTCAAAAAGATTCCCCCTCCACCCCTAAGATTATACATATTTTGTACTAGGCTGAGTAAATTCAGTTGTTCTTTACCCAAGCAGTTCAAAAACAACCAGAAGAGGAAAAACCACATTACTTTGACAGTCTATCTAAAAATATATTTCACCAAATGGAACACAGTTAAAAAAATGAAATATGTCTGTTGAAAGACAAGCACAATAGAGAATGTAATTTTTGTCATGCTACAATAGACTGAAAGAAAAAAAGAATGAAGGAACAAAACCATGTACAAAATTAGCTTGGGTGAAGAGAAAAGAGAATGTGCTTAGCCCTCAATTGTAGTTTTTAGATATGCCTAATGTTAGAAAAGCTTCCCGCCACAAAGAGATGAGAGTCTCTTGAAGCACAACATGCAGCAGAGAAAACGCATCCTGATTCTTTCCAGATTCATGATCTTTGGGCAATAGCTACGGATTCACTCATTTTTGTGAAGTTTATGAAATGCTAATGGTTTAGTTTCACACTCTCTGTCCTGAGGGAGTCTGTGGGTATGCAGTATAAACAGGACAACTGTAAAGTCACAGAAATTAGAGGTTTCTTTAATCCAAACTCTGAGAATTAAAACTTTCTTTCCTTTTTTTCTTTTATCTTGCTTTATAAATTCTACATCTTGAGCTATTTGTATCAGTTCCTAAACTGAGATTTTTCTGAAGTGCAAGAGAATGCCTACCTAGTCATCTCCAAATACAGAGAGATTGTTTTCCATCATGTATTTGTGCCCAACTACAAAACAAAACTACATAACTTTGACTTGTTGTGCATTTGATTTCTCTTGTGGTGCTGTTCAGCAACATTCAGAACCTCTCTAAACCACTAATTCCCTCTGATCTCAGAAGCAGACTTTTTTGTGATAGTGTAAGTTTCTCTGATCGTATCATCTTCTAGGTCATAGAATCATAGAATGGTTATATTTGGAAGGGATCTTAAAGATCATCTAGTTTCAACGCCCCTGCCATGGGCAGAGACACCTTCCATGAAACCAGGTTGCTCAAAGCCCCATCAAACTGGCCTTCAGCCTCTTCCTACCTCTTCCGCCCCTTTCTTCCTCCATGAATCTTCCTTTATTTCTCCCTCTTTTGTAGTGGACTGTTTTTAAACCTATTTTACCTTTTCGATATTGTACATGATTCTCTTTACATAAGATGGGGGAATAATGGTGTTGACTTGGATGCAGTTGCTTGTACTGTTCTCAGATGTTCTCCTCTGATGGTTATGCATTCTGAATTAAATTAGAAACCAGATCAAAACTATTATTTGTTACTGGTTTGCACTTATTTTCTGAAGATTAAGAGTCACTTGTAAAGAAAATCAGGTTTAATATGTAGAAGACATAAATTGTGCAATGGTCCTCAAATGTTTTAACATGTGTTCTGTAGCTTCACTAGTTCATACTTTTTATCAAAATAGAGAAAGGTTATATCTACTATACAATTCCAAACATTCATTTTCTGTCCAATAAAGTTAATAAACCCAGCCAATCTTTCATCATCTTTTGCATTCTGTGTTTAATAGTAATATGAACACCAAACAATAAAAAGTAATGTAGGGTTTACCAGATAATAATAAACCTTTGTTAACCATAATATTTAGGTATTTTAAAATCTAACTTTTTCTTTGGGAGCTGTATTTCGTTTGCCATACATTTTGAAAGATTGTCTTCATGATTATATCAGTCAGGGACATGTATTTTTATGAATCAGTTTGAGACACTTCCTGAATTTTGTGCACATGATGTGAATAATTACTATCCAATAGAAAAGGTCAGCTTCTGAAAAATTAACCTAATGTGAAAAGATAGACATATAGCAAGAAGTGATTGAAAGAAGCAGTTCCACTTCATTTTATGATGTCAAGACCATGGTTTGTTCTGTCCTGGAGAACAAATTATTTGGAATGTTTCTGAGGTTCTTTCCATGCATTTCTTTTTTTGTGACATTTACAAATGTAGCCTTTTTCATTTTGGAAGGTAGATCCTTGTTGAGCTAAAAGAATAAGATTGTCAGATTACAGGAAGGAGATTTCCATTTAGAAATCGCATACACTCAGATTTCTACAGGCCAAGGATTTTGCTCTAATCATTCCTACACTAGAAATAGAAAAAGGGAGTCTGGCACTCAAGCAACTATATTTCATCTTTCTCAAATTTATGTTCCATCCTCTGCAAAGCTCTAAAAATTACTTTGGTAAGTATTTTGGTTTTCATGGGTTGAGAAAAGGTCTATTCATAAATTCTTGAGAAAGCTTGGTTTTTGTTTTTTTTTTTAATATGAGCTCAAACTTTTTCTGTTATGGTAAATAATAAATTATTTTTACTTTTAGCAGTTTATACATAAAAATAAGCAATATTAAACTGTATGTTTGGATCTATGCTTGATAATTATTCTTTCATATCAGAGTTTTTGAAATAGAAAATAATCATTACACACGTGTTATACTTTATATTTCAGTTCTTACTAATTTTTTAAATCAAAAGACTTCGTTTAACACACTTTAATAGCAAACTTCCAAATAAAAGAAACTCCACATACATACAAATAAACCCAAAGCTCTTTGCTCTAAATAGAAATTGACATCTGCATACTATAGACCATAATTTAAGCATTTATCTGCAAGACCAGCTTGACCGTTTTAGTTGTAATTTACAGGTCGTTGACTTCATTATAGGCAGCTTGTGGGAAAAGTAGCTTCTAATACAAAGGCACCTACAGTAGCCAAGCTGCAATATG